GGTACTTAGGTACACTTCTGTGAACTCTTGTTGTGAAACTGTTAGCTCTTGGAATGGGATTTCACCAATACTTGGTAATTGTTATTATTGCTCTTATGGCTGTTTGTTTCATAGGTGGCAAAGTAGAATACATGGAGGTCGATTAACTGACTCCACATTTAATCATGACTGGGTATTAACTTTTGATACAGTGATCTGCAGCTTCCAAACATTACCTACAGCCCTTTGGCAAGATTATGGCTAATATTCTTGTATAGAGGAGGCCCAGGTCAGTTATAAAGATGATGAATGAATAAGAAGTCTATTTTTACTAATACTGGAGTATTACATTACATATTAGATGCCTATTTGTTTGACTGGATTTTTTTTTAAAATCTCAGTAGTAGCATGGATTCTGGAATTGTGGTACCTATACGGCAATTGGCTTATCCGCAATTACATGGGACTCCATAAATAGTAAAACGTGGGTGTTACATTGTACAATGGCATTAAGTGCCACAATGTTTACCTCTGCCTACCCCTTCGGGGATAAAAGGCATGATGTTGTGTTATGTTATGTTATGTTAGAAAAAAGGTAGCTATACTCTTTCTCGTTAAGAAAATATGTGCGTATTAAATTATCACATTAAAATGGTCATGTTTCTGGCATTTTAATTGCGGTCCATCCTCTGTGGTTGTGCAACTATTGCGTAACCAATAGTCGAACAGTTGTGACCGCAGGGAACCGGTCTGTACAACGGATCGAACCCGAACCGTTATCCTATGACCGGTGGTGCAAGGAGAAAGAACATAGACATTACTATTATAAAATGGCAAGAATGAACTAGCTGCTAGGTTAAGAAAATTAAAAGTCTAATTGGTCTGTCGGTAAGATAGTGTAGAAATATTAATCACGTAATTTTTTAGTTTCTTGTATAAAGTTACAATACTTATTGTGGGAGGTCGTTTTGTAGCACGGTGTGACGTCACAGGATATTTCAAAGTAATATATCGTCAAAAGTATTAAACTTTGTGAAAAAAGAAAAGATTGTGTCTAATGTTTTAATTTTATCTAGCAGACGGATATTAAATTTTAGGAACTATCCAATTAACGTAGGAATTTTGTTGAAAATATAACAAATAAAATCGTTTCTTCATGAAATGACACAAAATATACAATTCCATAGAAAGGAATTATGATAATTAATTTATAATGCAAGACTAGATGATTTCACAAAATGGAAATTGATCTCTTACTTCTAGTAAACTAAACTAGAGATATTTTAACTACTAGTTAACTAAAATAAGAAGCAAGTTGAAGAACCAGTTACAGTTTAATGACACACGTTGTTGTTTTACAAACACGACTTACTCGTCAATATTTTAACACCGCAATATTCTTCCAACTTGCACCACACAGTCGTGACATAAACTAGTTTAAGAGGCGTGTGCCTGAAAAACCGTGAGATTACGAACAAACCGAGTATTTCGCACGAACGTTGTTTACATAATATTATGTAACAACATGTAAATAAACTTCACCGTACTACATTGAGTAATAAACTAAATTGTTTTAATAAATCTTTATTTATTTTACGGTCTCTTTGTTTTATGGAGTGCGAAGTGTTAGTTTTATTGTTGAAAGTACATAACAATTTAGTATACACGTAATAAAAGAATACTACCGGCTTGGATGAGAGCAGAGGGCTTCAATTCTTTGATTGAGCAAAATATAATTAAGGTTATCGAAATTCCCAAAGAGGTTGCATTTATAGCAACATGTAAGGCACTAAGTTTTATATCCCTTAACATAAGACATAAAATATAAGTGCCGATAATGTTGACGTTACATTTTATTGAGCACCTTAATCTACTATTTTTAGAAATAAAAAGCGTGACGTTAATATAAAGTACGTAACAAAGCTGTTGATTCCTTAGAGCTACATAGAAGAGGACAATAAAAACTGTTTCGTTCAAAGTAGAGGTATACAAAGGCTTACACCCACTGCTACTCGGTGTTAAATAACTGTGTGTGTGGGTTGAACTATTAGCATGACATTAGCGGTATCCGAATTCCTAAACTAATTGATTTTTGAACAGCATCCTGTCAAATTTGTAATGTTATTGTTATTTATTTGATAAATTATTCATATATTTTATGAATGCTTTTAATATAGCCAGTCTTTTCTTAAGGAAAATCATTGAATGACTTCTCCCGCCTAGGTAAGGCGGGAGGGAGTGTCAGACTCTTACTGACTAAAAACCACCCCGTTCCTACTTATGCACTTCGAGCCGGAGCCCCGGTACCCCGTTAGGTTCTCCGCGGCTAATATAGTCAGTCTACTTGTAGGTCGTCATAGAGCAATTAAGACTGCATTCGTTCGTAACAATTGTAACATAGTCGTCATCCAACATCAACAGCCTATAAATATCCTCTGCTAAGCAAAACCTCTTCTCATACGGAGAAGGTTTGAGCATTATTCAGCAAGCTTGCTCAATGCAGGTTGGCGATTTCAAACTCATAATTAGAAATTATAAGCCCAGATTTTCTCACGATGTTTTCCTTCACTATTTGTCAATGGTGTCAAAATCTTAGAAAGTACATATACATAACTCGGAAAATTCACATTGATACTTGCCGTTTGGTAGGTTTCGAGCCCGTACCCTCATATGTGAGAAGCGGGGATCTTAAACCTCCGGGCTCCTCTTAAAAATATTTATGTATTAATGAAGTTATACACTTGTTTCACATAGAAGACAGAACACAGGAGTTTTTAGACCAAAATATCAATAAAAATGTTGTTTTTTACCTGAAACGATTCCAAAATTTATACTCTACTAGCGACCCGCCCCGGCTTCGCACGGGTGCAATATACATGTATTATACATACAAACCTTCCTTAAGAATCACTCTATCTATTAAAAAAAACCGCATCAAAATCCGTTGCGTAGTTTTAAAGATCTAAGCATACATACGGACATACAGCGAAAGCGACTTTGTTTTATAGTATGTATTGATGTATTGATAAAACAGCATTAGGTATAAAAATCTTAATAGTACCTACATAATAAAATCAAACGACTGTTTATCACTAATATCGACTGCCTCGTAATTACTCGTTCAACATTGAATAAAATTTCTCTAGCGTGCGGTCAGTGAAACCCGGCCGCAACTCATGCGCAGCTTACATCAATAAAAACGAGATTAGAAATTCATATTCGATGAAAAAGTCAGGAAAGATGACCGTAGTTATGTTTAATTGATGGTTTCTTTGTAATTTTGTAATATAAGGTGTGGTTTAAGTGATTTCGAAATAAAAATGGTTTTGGTTATGGCTAATTGGCTAAGAAAGATTGTAGAAGAAAAAGATGGTTTGGATCAAATGGTTTAGATAAACTTGATTGAAAATTAGTCATCAATTTGCAGACAAACTCACTAAATTGCAGTTTAAGAACTGTCTAACTACAAACTATGTTACTCAATTTGTGTTTCCGAAAGTTAATCAATTTTTGTGCAAAAACTCGTTTTAAGTAAACAAACGCAGGTTAATGTTTACTTCTGAACGGATATTACAACAAACATTTTAGTACTAAGCTGTTATTTTTACAAAACTGAAAATTAAATAGCTATAAATAAACAAACGAATCTTTATAAAGCGGATTACACACGGTACTTTCTCTGCGGTGTGTCAAGGTCTAATGTATTCAGTTACACTTATTGTTTTAATCGCTGAGCCGTGAGAGTAGGCTTTAATGCCAGTGATGACATTGAAGCGTATGTGTACACACGACTACACATCGACTTATACAAAACCAGTATAGGCTGACCGTTCAATGTGCAGAAAGACCATAGAAAGCGAGACCACGATTAACTGGAATTCATAGCTTGATGTGAGATGTGTTTATTTAGCCAATGTTACAATAGCAGGCTTTTTGAAACACCTCGTACCTACTTTACGCCTTTGTAAGCCTAAGGGAACGCTCATTTGTCAATACAAAGCAACGCTCAATAGAGTTGCGATAGTACGCAAGCTTGAACAAAAGAAAAATTGAGCTTTAAAGAGAAAATCGTAATTACTTCAAGTATTTTAAATAGGGAGGGAATTTGGTTTCTAGATGGGGGTCTCAAAATACGTAATGGTTAGTGTAGGTGGAATTCATTAATGACGAGGAATATGTTGATTGTTATGTAATAAATAATTAAAAATGAAACATTGTAAATATTAATGAAAGAGAAATTAAAACCTAGGTATTTCTGTCTGTACCTACTGAAAAAAAACCGAGAGATCGGTGTTTTTATCTCTTCCATCAAGTGTTATCTTCCATCAATAATCTGCTTATCCTTTAGAATAATAAATAAATGATTAACATACAATAACAATATGTCATTTATATCGTCATCATCCTCAAAATAAAGACATCCGCAGTCCGCACCCATATTAACTTAAATGCCCTTCGTATAAAGTCACTTTTCCTTTGGTAACCATAATATATTATGGATATATTTTTTAACAAAATCATCATCTTCCTCTACATTGCACGTCTCAGTGCTTAGTGGGTGAAGGTTCCTTGTAGTGAAGCTACTTGATTGCCTACAATTATTTCTATTGTGGTCATCATGCGATCTGTCGTTTATGGTCACCAGTAATTGTGGTCGGATGTCTCGTCTGATGACTTTTTGTAATCATACGTCTTTGAAGGATTTAGGATATTGTTGTTGACAAAACGACAGACGGTACTCGGTAGTTTGGTTTTAATTGTTTGAACTCCAATGTTGAAACATCCGATTTAAAGTCGTTGGTATTTATAGTTGTTATTGCTTTGCAAAGGAAATGGAAATTATCTTTAACTTAAAATGTTTTAACGTTTAACTTAAGATTAAATGTAAACTAATGTCAACTAAACATGTAATGTGTATGAAAGAAATATTTAAACATAAGTCTTTAAAATAGAAAGTACGTGTACAATGTACCTATTTTTTTGAAAAACGACTTTAACGCATATTTTTCTGTCCATTACAGGTGGTGGTAGGCGGACGACAACGCAGAGCAGTGCAAACGCAACGAGGGATTCGCAACTGCTCTCCCTGCTCGCCGCGCGAAGGCGACAGCTTCTCAACGAAAGACTGGCGACGCATATCAATGCACTAGCGTCATTAGCACATAAGGCTAACAAGTATGTATTGTCTATATTCTCTAGTGAAGGGATTGTAAAGCGGGCTACTTTAGCTATATAAGGCTGAAATCAGAATGACAGACTGATTAATGTCTCGCTCATTTCTCAAACAAGCCTAATTAAGATCAACCTTTTAACTTGACTGAAGGCACTTTTGTGACAATAGTTATTATGGTATTTTCCCATACTTAGAAGTTAATATAATGCAACATTAACATTACACTTACTTACTAAATTTTGAACTCTATTTATTGTTCTAATTTACGAGGATCCTAATATGTTATATAATTTAATTTCAGAACCAACACAACATTCGCCCAGTTGGAAGTCCGAGACTCAAATAACTCTATAGTGAAGAGGATAACGTTTGAGAATTCGAGCAATGAACCTCCGTCGACATTGAGGCTTATAACCTCTGATGGTTCGAAAGAAATTCGACAAGACCTAAAACCACACGAAATAAGACATATTTTCGTACCCAGGGTGTATCAGGACTCGAAGAGCAGAGCAGGTTTTATGAATAACAGAAGAAGAGAGGGAATCAATAAGTCTGCAACAATACCTGAACGTCTCGAAATAACTGAAAGTAGTATAGTATACGTCCCACCTGAAAAGTACGAAAACCTGGATAAAGATGTTGAGTTAGACCCCGAGGAAGAATTCCAGGTGGATGAATCAAATCATGGTCTTTATCTACTTAACTATTCAGACACAGAGAATGTAACACAAAACACAAACGTTAATACAACCGTCAGCGATGTTAAAAATAATGGTACTGCGATCGAAACTACAACGCAATCTAGCGAATCTTCTAAAAATGAAACGTCCGAGAAACCTGTTCAAAAGGAATCAGAAGAAAAACCAGAAACTAACATTATTGCCAACAGCACTGAGAGTAAAAATACAAAGTTAATAAAAGTCGACAATGAAAAGGAAAATCTCACAAGGTTTATGACTGATGAAATTTACAACCATTTTAGACCACTTGAAACTGAGTTACCCGTTGAAGAAATGGCCCCTTTCAAATATTTCGGACAAAAATTAGGAGGGCCGGCTATAAGTGATAATCTTACTAACTCCCCAACACTATCAGCATCCACAAAATCTGTGAATTTTATAGTAGCACCATTGGAGAAAAGAAAGTTCAATTCAAGATATTCAGCTACAGAAAAGTATAAAAATACTAGCGTAGACGAAGAAGAAATTAATGAAGATATGGACGTATCAGTCGTTAAAAATGTTATAGAGAAAAATAAAATCAGAAATACAGTCAAAGGGCCAGCTCCAGCACGCCACGTTGGATTGGTTAATGCTTATAGAAAGTTTTCGACTACTGTTCCACCAACTACAAAATCACCTAATATTGCTCAGCTCAATGTTACTGAGTCCATAGTTCAATATTCTACGCCTAGTATTATAGATAAAAACAAAGATAGTAATAAGATAAATAGTACTGCAACCAGTAACCCCGCGTTAAAACTCAATAGTACTAACACAACAAAAGACAATCCATTAAATAAAACTATGACGCCTCCCACTTCGCCAAGAAATTTTACTAGAAATTATTCCAATATCAGGCGACGTCCATTAAGAGTGACACCAGCTAGTACTGAAATTACTCCAGTACTCAGCACAGCGATAATAAATGCAACTACAACTGAGAAGGCATCCACGTCTGTTTATACAGCTGTAGTTACATCAGTGTCTATTACTTCTTCCATGAAAGGGCAGAATAAAACAGATGGTACTTTGAAAGATGAAGACAATACTACAGTATCAGATATTTTAGAAGTAACTAATGGTACTATCCCAAAAGCAACCACTATTAATGAAACCGAAAGTACGACAGTCATGCCTTCAAGTTTCAGGCCTAAACACATAATTCGAATAAGAACAACAACAACCGATAATCCAAATCCTACGCCTATTACGGCATCTCCTGTAGCCAGTGAATTATCTACTAAGTATGTACCGCTTATCAAAAATGAAACTGAATCAAAGATATCTGAAAGATTGGCTAGTTTATTCCGACAGAGAAATATCGAAAATGCGACAAACTCGACTAGAACTAATAAGCATAGGAGAAGGCGACCTACAACGACTACTTCTACAACTACTACGACTACGACTCCAGAACCAACATTACAATCAGCTGAGAGAGTTGCGGAATCTCCTATGTCTACCACCCCAACGACGGTCTATGCTAGTTTCCTCACATCAACGCTGCCTTCAACTACAACGGCCTTCAAACCATTTGTAGTAACATCTCGAACATCGTCTGAATCAAGTTCCAAACCAGTATTAGTTCCAAGCAGTACAACTAGAAATGACAAAACTGTCAATAAAACGGCTGGTGAAGGAATCGAAGTACCAGCATCACAAAATGAGGAGGTGGTTATAGAGGCTGAGAAAACGTATACCGCGTCATATGTTTTAGCTGGTTTAGGATTTTTACCTGTTGCAGCAATAGTAGCTTTTGTTCTTAGAAGTATATTGAATAAGAAAACCAAAGAAATCGATACGGAGTACGAGGGGTACTTCGAAGATGGGGATATTAAGAAGGAGTCACCTATTACCCCTGTAGCAAGACCTCCACTGCCCACACCGACGAAGCCTGATCAGAAATGGGAGTTCCCAAGAAATAAGTTACGTCTTCAAACATTATTAGGACAAGGGAACTTTGGTCAGGTGAGTTACCAACCCAACATAATCAATAATCGCTCCAATTCACCTTAAGCTTTACTATGAATGTCAATAAAAAATACCATTCCTATTTTAGTTATTTCTAGGTCAGATTTTGTATTTTTTTCAACTGAAACAAGTATGAACAACTTTAATTTCAGGTATGGAAAGCCGAAGCAGATGATCTAAATGGCCACGATGGACTGACACGGCTGGTGGCAGTTAAAAGCATAAAAGAGACAGCCTCGCAGAAGGAGAAGCAGGAACTTCTTCACGAGATATACATCATGCAGAAGATAGGAACACATCCTAACGTTGTAACGATACTTGCTTGTTGTACTGAACTAGGTAAACAAATTACTCTTCCAAATATATCTAGTTTATTCCGGTTTTCAAAAATTCTCTGTAGAAGACTCCATGAAAACTGGCTCTGTATTCAGTGTAGGTCAATGCTCCCACTCCCTACTTCTTAGACTTATAACGTAACTGGTAAAATGTGACTTCAATATGAGAGTGAAAATGTCAACACTCTGATTATGACCCCTAAAAAGATTAAAAGGTCTGTTTTGCTCTTTTACATCTTATACATACCTTTCCTCATTATCTTTCCAGAGCCCTATCTTCTAATAATGGAGTACGTGATGTGCGGCAAGCTGCTCACATACCTGCGCGAGCGTCGGTCTCGACCTGACCGGTTCAGTGGCAGTGGAGCGCTCACGTCTAGGGACCTCACTGTCTTCGCTTACTGCGTGGCAAGAGGGATGGACTATATTGCTTCTAAAGGGGTAAGAAGAGTTTAACAGAGTGCATTATTATTATAATATTACTTAATATAGTATGAGGTCAATTTTTTTTATTCTTAAATTTAAAACTAAATAGTATGTAGAGCAAATCTTCCAGTAGTGTGTGTATGACAAAGTTTTAGTGTCTTTGTTCCGATTATAATTACTTTTGTATGAAGTTCAGACCTGTTAGGCCTATGGCAATGCGATCGCTCCCTTTTACATGGCACTTAGAATATAGATGAGCACTTTGACTTTTAAATATGTATAAGTATTATTGTTAATTAAGCTGTGATTATAATTCCAGATTGTTCATCGGGATCTGGCAGCACGTAATGTATTGGTGGATCACAACAAGCTGTGTAAGATTGCAGACTTCGGAATGTCGAGGTGTGCGGGCTCAGGTGCCAGGCAAGCACGAGGTGCGCTACCTGTGCGCTGGATGGCGCCCGAAGCTCTCCTTTACAACGTGCACAGCCACCAGACTGACGTCTGGGCCTTTGGCATACTGCTGTGGGAGATCGTCACGCTGGGTCAGTTTATTCATTACGTGTAAAATGATTACTAAGAAGGAAGCGAAGAAATAATTTATTAGCCCTAAAGTTAAAAAAAAGATAAAAAAAGAAAATATCAATTACCTTCTAAATTACAAAAGAGACATTTAGCAATTCTCACACCTTGTCTTATATTTCCAGGTTCAACGCCATATGCTACGATGTCAGGCCGTGAAGTGTTAGCAGCAGTCACGGAAGGCTACAGGCTGGAGCGGCCTCCACACTGCAAGCCACAGCTGTACCGGGCCATGCACTCGTGCTGGCACGCAGACCCATCCCAAAGACCCACCTTCGCCTCTCTGAAGTCTCAGCTTGCAGAGCTTCTTGACAATGAACCTTCAGAAGGAAACTACGTGGACTTGGACTCCTTTTACCAAGAGTCCTCGGTTTACAGCGACCCGTCGGCCATTATTAACGATGACGAAGGTCTCTCGGCAGAGTATGACAGGGAGAGGCGGTGCTTTAGAGAGTGAGTACTATTGTTTGTAGGACTCAATCATATATAACCGTCGTTTAGTTATGATCACACTAATATTATAAATGTGAAAGTATTTTTGTATAAATGTTTGTCCGTCAATCACGCTGAAACTACTGAACGGATTTTGCTAAATTTTGGTATCAACGGGTAAGGACTGATTTAGGTGATAGAATGTTAATTATTTTTTATTTTTTTCCCCGATTAAATGCTCCCATGGGATAAAACAGGAATCATATTCCACGCGGACGAAGTCACGGGCAACAGCTAGTTTTAAATAATTTTTATGATTTGTAAAATACTCATATCACAAATTGTATTCTGTAGGCTCAGCACCGGTCCAGCGAAATTTGAGAATCGAGCATTCAACTTCCGCGATGAAGAGCTACGAAACAAATTCGGTATCGGCACACCGCGGATGGGAGGCTTCGGGATCAGGGACGTTCCCTTCAACGATAGGAACTTCTCCGACGGCGAGTTCAACGAACGAAACTTTCCGCAAGAAAATTTCAGTGATACGAATTTCACTGAACGTAAGGATGGGAAACTATCGACTTCTAGTTTTCATCGAGAGAGGGAGCGAGAGAGAGAGAACCCTTTGGTCAGTAGGAACAGCTTTAATGGCTTTCCCAGGGTAGGCACTAGGGATAGGGATAATCACTTCCAAATGGCACCTGATGGGAGAAATAAGAGGGTATCAGAATTTGAATGTGATATTTGAACGCGTCGCCAAGATTGCGCTTGATTGCTGCATAGTAGCACCGAGTCGTGATTTTAGCGTTACCTGTTGGAGATATAATGGGCATAGCTTAGTCTTATAAACTGGTAGTAGTTTCAAAGAGAGGAGATAATAGTAATTTGATTACTGTGATCTATGTAATGTACATTTTGAAGGCGAATTTGATTCGACATAAGAATACGTAAGCTTTGTTTTGTAAGAGGTTGCAAATTTATATTTTGATACGTTTTGATAATATTTAAGGAATGGAGCTCTGAATTGATTGATGGAAGACAAAGTTATGCCTGCAATATCTTGGAACTTCACATTCCGACTAATTCAGTAGAACTCGACTGAAATGTAATTAATACGTGTGTTTATACTTAGGCATAATGCGCCAAACACTAGCACTGATTTGACAGACACTGTAATATTGCACTAGTGTGGAATCATGACATATCAAGTTAGAATTTCATACAAAATGAAATTTCATTACTTGACAACTATGTTTATAATTGTAAATAATTTGTTAATTTATAACAGTATTTTTATATTAATGTATGCCGTGGTTTCTATGAATATTGTGTAAATAAAAGCTGTTATGTATGTTGTCTATGTATACGTGTTACAGGTGGGTAGTTTTATGTACACTTCGCAATTGATACAGATTATCATTTTCACTTAGCTGTCTTCATCGCGACAGCAAATATAAAAAAAAAATGTAGTTCCAATACGAATTGCATAAAGGTTTTCGAAGTAAGTTTCGTTTCCATTTTCAACATATTGATATTTTAAGTATCAAATGTTTAAATAAAGTTGGATCATAATGGTGCTACACATTATATTATGGACATATTGTAAATATCAGATGTTATATTATACAGAGTGTTTTTATTTTTTTATATTTTATGTTATTTACTCGCAGTTTTCTGTTTCTCTACTCCAGATATCGCTGTCTAGTCTCAAAAATTGTATGATTGTATGATAGTATTGGTTATAGTAAGATTTGATTGTATTTTAAGTTTAAAAAGAATTATTTTATTATAAATAAATATTAAAATGTATTGAAAAATTTATTTGTGGTTTTGATTTGATAAATCCATTGTCCAAAGTCTCAAGGAAATGATTGTCAGGAAGAGAAGCAAAATATCATATTTTCCATAAAATTGAGGATCAAAACGTTATATTAATATTTTCGGAGTGTTGTGTATTACAAACCACTCGTTTCTCATGACGATTAAAAAGTTTAGAAAAAGAACAACAAAGAAATTGAATTTTTTTTTTAAATATTTCATACATTAATTACAAGAGTTAATAATAACAAATAAACTGAAATCATTAATGCCAATGGCACTACGCTAGTATTATAGTCCAATACTAGTATATAAGTGGGCACAAATCCTAAAATTGACTTCAAAAGGGAAAGTGCAAAGTATACAATAACGCATTTATCCGACCCAGCTTACTCAACAGTAAATACCGCAAGTGTACATTGGGTGGCATCATCGTGCAGCGCAGATAACTGAACGTTTGTCTATTGGCACCTAATGATAGTGCTCGCCACTATAATCGGTACTTTCATTCTACCGCAGCCTGCGCACCGTTGCCTAACGTTTATTCATGTCCTTTGTTATATAGTGTGTTTTAAAATCCTCCCACGATTCCGAATCTGTACTTGTACCATATAGCATAATAGCATTATAGCGTAATAACACACTCACTACTAGCATAGTAGCAAATTGGAATAATAGTAAAGTAGCACAAGTGAAACAAGTGAATTTATTTCTGCAAATAGGCTACAAGGCAGCACTTTTACGTCAATTTTATCAACCGAACGATGAGGTCGACATTTCCTTACTGACTACTCTGAGAAGAAATGCCGAAACAAACTCAGAGGTCCGTCTTTTATAAAGTCCAGACAAATATGTATAAAAGATTATGTGTGAGGACCGTGCAAGTTCTTTCTGTAGTGGCCTTTTGAGGAAAGAACCACAATACAATAGCATAATAGTAATGTTCCGTAATAGGTAAATAGCATAGTAGCGTTATAGCATAGTAGTATCCTAGAGTAAGAGTAAAAAAGTATTAAGTATTACAGTACAAACGACTAACTTTTAACATCCTATTCTCAATATAATTACATGAGTTTTTTTCTAATTATACTCACCACGGTAACACTTCCTATGAAACTTGATTGTATTGCGGTGCAGGTTCATCATATTGTATATCATTCATATTTTAGGTGACCATTGATGTTGAGTTTGCAATAAGTAAAATTGTATTAGTTAAGATATACATATTAAGGTGTATTGAAAACTTGTTTGCGGTTCCAATAAAAAAAAATAGCATTATACCAAGGTACCATTATATCACTACACCAAAATAGCATAATAATATATTTTTACAATAGCATAATAGCTATATAGTATAACAGCCACTATGGTTGTTGTTGTAACTATGTTGATAACAATATACCTCTAATAGCATTGCTAATATAATAACATAACAATTTAAATAGCATTTTTTATACATATAACAGTGACCTGACTTACTAATTATTTATTTACTTACTTTTAAAAGAAAAGTTTATCAACAGCCTGTAGCTAGATATTGCCAAGTTACGCACAACAAAGCTTCAATCACAAAGAAAGTAACAAGTATCTACAAACCGCACGCTTCTAATATACAAATTGTTTCCTTATTTAGTTTATAACCTGCGGAGACAATATTGTACTCACGGAAAACTTGTTTAACGTGATAATTTTGTATTACTAGGAATTATAACACAAAGTCTCTGCCTACCTCTATGGGAGACAGGCGTGAGACAATAAAACGCCAATTGCTACGATGCTTACAAACCTCTTTTGCTTTCTCAAAAGTCATCAATTAAATAGACAGGCTGTAACTTGAATTCGTATTTTTTCTTGATAATCCCTGATCCCTGAAAATTAAATTTAACTTATAATTTTTCATAAGAGCTGGAACAAATGTTAGGAGGACTTATTGACTATGTAATAATTGGCATCTCCCGAATGCTGTCAAAAATCTAATTACACAGGACTGAATAGTAATATAAGTCCTTGAAAATCCAATCTCGCTGACCTCCTTTTAGGAAATGTTTTATGGTGATAATCAGGTTCCTGCCGAAATAAGCTCCAGACTTCGTGTTCGACTATCTAAATTAAGTCTTTGTGCTATTCACAGAACCAAAAACTTAATAACCTATCCGAGAATGATGATAATGAAGCAGAAAGAAGAAACCATAAATATCTCGAACGTAGTTTTGCATCAGAGAGCAATCATAGCGGTCTAACAGTTACGTTATCTATGCTTTATACTCCAACAAACAGACTGTTACAATTCTCATAACTATACATTTTTTGTGGCAACTTATCTTCTGCGAAGATGATTACCATCTACTGTTAATGCAATGCCTATAGAAAACCGACGTGAAACAACGCTTTCGTTGTGTTTCCTCGTATGAGTTAGGTTATTGGAGGCCTAATCTCCTCAATCCCTGAATCAAACGGGCTTACGGGATACATAAAAAATACCCATGGACACCCGCAACCCCGGAGGAGTCACAGGTGCGTTGCCGGCCTTCTAAAAAGGAATGCGCTCTTTTTTATAGTTTAAACATCTGTGTAATTGACACATTGAAACATCAAGAATAATTACCATTGTCATCAACCACCCCTAAACAATATCTTAACTAAGAGTTACTTAGCGGCACGTAGCACCTAAATTTAGCCCTTATTTACACTGTTAGGTGACACTTATAGATTGGTGAAAACAAAATGTCGTCATTTTATCTTATTATAGGCGTTCCCTAAAATTTAGGTGAGGGAAGTGAAAATAGACATGAGATTGGTGACAAATGTAAGTATTCTACTCTAACAACGAACATAGTTTTTATAATTTACATTAATTATGCAAAATGCAAAATGCAAATTAATTAACACTAAATTGGTTTTATTAGTTAATTAATTTTATCGATATGAGAATTATATTTGCGTCTATGAATCATAAAAAATAATGTAGTATTTCATAATACGTTTTAATAGCTTTCATCGCGGTTGATGGAATATAATAGCTTTTTAATTATAATGCCATATAATATAAAAATATAAATAAATAAACTATTGTTATTTATTAAGTCATTGGCGTATAAAAAGAAAATCGTTTTAAAGAATCAAGCATCTTTAAAGTTGTAGTAAAATTACATCGCTGTACCCCTATTAGGTAACCAAATTCTGATCGTTGCGAAATACATACATTCATATTAGATAGTCTAACACCCGCTACAAAAGAATATTATGTGTGTACTACAATACATCGACATTTAGCAACAATGGAAAACTTCGTCACCGTGAAAGCTTCTTGTAAAACAAAATGCAGCCTCATCACTATCAGTTACATTATTGGGCCCATTCATACATTTTTCCTTTCCAGTTACATAATACGCTAGTCATCGATGAATAGGTGTTAATTTTGACACCGATATTACTTTTATATCACCAACTGAACTATTGTAGAATGATAAGAGAGTTATCAGATGACCAGGGATGACCCCGTGGTGTGGTGAAAGTCGTCAGTTCCGGTATTATTCGACACTTGTAAATACAAGATGAGAGAGTATGTTTGTGTGCGTGTGTGGGGGAGCGCATGCGTCCATTTGACGTTCAATCGCGAACGGAGAACTGCGTGCGCGCATCGCTGCGGAAAAGACTTCAACGCGTTCACTTAATTATTTTTATACTATTTTTTTTATCCAAATGTGTGGTCGTGCGAAGTGCTAATATGACTTAATTGTATCGTAAAATAAATAATTTAATACATAAAATTATATATTAAAATGGCGCGCCTATCAAGAGTTTTTCTTTTCGCGGTGTTACTTGCGCTCCTGAAGGCGGATGATGACTTAAAAGACTTTGAATTCAGTGATCCTGATGAGGTGATGATTGCGCAGGAGTCTAGACAATACCAGACTGTAGTAAAGCCTCCTATTAGGATAGTGAAGCCTACTGGAGTGACAAATTCACATAGACCTCAGTATAATTTGGATTCTTTTGAGGATAGGTCGCAGGATACATTGGAAGAATATGATAACTCGCCACGAAGGAGTTTAGTGAAAAACTATAAATCGTCTCATAAGATAAGAGCTAAGGAAGGGATGGTAAAGGATGCTGTGTTGAGGGCGTTAGAGCGGAAGGACCATGTGGGCAAATTTGCACAGATCCTGCCCATCATAAGAGCGATGTCGGGGAATCAGAGGGTAGCACTAGCATCGTTAGTGTCCAGCCAAGTTAGTACCCCACCTGGAAGGGCGCCGCTGAATCTAGCTCAGGTAAGATTTTGAACTATGTTGTACTTTTTCATTTTTCCAAACTTTTAGACGGTCGTCTAATTCTTAAATTATCTGTATATTGAAATAAGTTTATGATTATTTCAAAAAATCTCTTGTTTCTGTTAGAATACTATCATCTTATTAATATGTATCTTCCAAATAGATTTTTCAATTTCTTAGATAATTTATTCATTGATATCAATTTTCAAAATAATCATTATAATAATAATAATCAAAAACATCGAAACATAACGTAACCATCGTAACATTTTGTTATCTAACCGTTATTTCGAGGTGAAGTCCGTTTCATGTCATTGACCAAATCTTTTAATGCAAATCTATCATTTGTGAAAATCTTATAATGTGCATATTGTTTAGAACAATCAAAGAAATCCCACGAACAAGAGAATGAATTAGATGCGTATCGAATTCTATTATAATGCATTAGTTTGTTCATTGTTTTTGCTACGAGTCTAGATCTAAAATTTATAGCCTCGTTAGTCTAATGTGCAATTACGTATTCTTGGGCTTCAGGTTCCTGAATTATCTTTGTTATTGTCTGTGCTTTGTATGGTACGTTAACCCGTCGGCCCTAATTAGAGATGGGCGATTTTTCGGATCAATACTCAAAATGAATAAATAATGAGTAAATACTGAG